TACAGTTATAATGAACCTGAGCTTTACGGCAATAATGGCTTTTCATGTAAAAACAGTTTGTTTTCCAAGCCAGGGCAAGTACAGAGATTAGAGGAATTCAGATGTTAATATCACTGCTTGGCTCTCAGGTTTTCTAGCATTCTTGCCACAAAGCTGCAAAGAGAAATTTCAGTTTCTCAGTGATCTATTGGTGCCTATTCCGTACAGATAATTCTTACTGAGAAATCCATATCCTCACAAAGATTACCAAACGTCATTCATTCAGTGCCCAAAAGGGCTGAGAGTTAAATGCCTCTGGGTCCCAAGTTCCTTTCTACTCGGATAAGAATTTAGAGAATGCTCAGATTAATGATCTCTTTTTCTCTCGCTGTTTTAAACTGGAACCAGGGACATGTTTCAGTGCCTATCTTAATAGATGTTTTTGGAGAAGACCCCTGGGCTATTTATCACAGTAAACTCTGCTTTCTCTGAATATTACTGAGCGCTCAAAAGGCTATTCTGATCTCGTTTGAGAACTGCAAGATCCTGAAATGCTGTAACAAGAGCAAAGACCTTTTAAAGTCACACATTTAAGGAAGATGTAAAAAAAATAAGAAATAAAGAAAATCACAAACAGTTTTAAAAATATAGGTATATGAATCTAAAAGACAGGGCTTTAAAGCAGTTGTTAATCAACTGGGGCTGGAGAAGAAAGTGGCGGCAAAAGAAGCAAACAAAAAAACACATGCTGCTGCATGGGGGGTTTTAATGAGTCCAACAGTTGTCGACTTCTTTTGTTGACGCTAAGCCTTTCCTCAGCAGTCGTGCAAGTCCCTGTACAGCAAGTGCAAGCCTGTCAAACAGGCTCTGCTTTTGTTAATAACTTTTTGGACTAAACAGACATCCTAGCACCTTGCAGCCTGCAGATCACAGGCTGAAAGCCACTGGTCTAACTGGAAGGCATCTCATAGTTCTCACCATTTGCTATAAGGTATCACCATTTGAATCACACAACTTCTTAAAAGTGTAGGCTTCGGGTTTTGTCATATGTGCGAGCAGTATCTGTTTTCAGTCCAAACTTATCGAGTTTAAAAGTCCAGGATTGCAGCTGGACCTCTCAAGAGCCTCCAGAGTCATACTCCATCCATGGATGATGGGTATGAGAGGATTATGCTGCCTAGGGAGGGCTGAAAAAGGTCTCTGCCAGTCAAGAGAACTAAGACAATTGTATTTGCATGCCTAACGTAACGACATTAGGAGTGAAAGATGGAATAAAATTGTTAGTTTTAAAAATCACTGTTAACAGCAGTTCGAAGGAGTGCTGCTTGGGCATCCCATAGCCAGCACAGTGGTATGGCACTGAAGAGGACTCGGTGTGCTTGCTATGAGCCTGCCACTGGACTCACAGTAACGAAGACAGCAAGCTGACTTTTTCCAAGCTCTGGGAAGTCAAAGTGGAATAAGCATCCACCATCACTCAAAGAAACTTGCTTCTCAAAAATCTATCCTGTAATAGTAGTTGTGTATAGCATGCTCGGATTCAGACTGTAATTTCTGCTTTATATTACAAACCTCAAACAGCATGACAAGTGAATTCCAGCAGGGAAGAAGTCTTTCCTCCTTTATGGATGAACTACATCTAGCACTACAGGTTCTGGTCTTGAGTAAAGCCTTCAGGTGTTATAACAAAACTGGTAGATGGTAGATACAACAAATAGTTTAAAAATACTAAGGGAGTACTTAGGGGAAGAACAGGCATTTCAGGTGGGATATAGCCTCCCATTTTGATGGAACTCTGTTTTGTTATTACATGACTGAGAAGTGAGAGACAGCCTCTAGGGCTACTTTTGCCCATTGCAGTCTTTTTTTTAAGTCACTTGTTAAAAATGACTGGAAAACACTATACAATGACCTTGCCTCTCATGTTCTAATACAAGACAGTTTAATATACAAAATGTTATAATCTGAGTGACCAACTTTATTCCTGTATGGAGGGGGCAAAAAAAGTCAATAGCAGCCTATTATCTGTAGCACTCACTGTTATGACATCTACATTATTTTTGTTTAAAAATACATCAAGTACTGGATATGGTATACTTGTACAAAGTTCTCCCCTATGTTCTAAAGATAAGTTGATTCTTCAGTTACTGTTGGCTTTACCATTTCATTCATGTCAAAAAAAATTTCTCATGATGTACAGATGTCTTCCTGTTTTGATGACATCCAAATTTACAGGCTACAGATAACTTTATTGTTAGCAACAATAAATGGTGATGAAATGGGACAACAAGCACATTGTCAGTCTTCTATAGAAAAATATAAACTATGGAGGAGCTGATCTGGTAACTAAAACTGATGTGCCTACTCTACCTCAGAATGAACCTCCAGAGCAAGAGTAGCTAGATAGATTGCAGCCTCATTGCGGCTTGTAATGGAAGCCAATGGAGCCTGCCTCAAATAATTATTTTCTTAATGATCCAAGGTGAAAAATGCCCTTTTTTTTTTTTTTTGACTATATCCTGTACATTAGCATAAGGAAGACTCAAAGCCTCCTTGGAAGCATACTCTTTCTGGCTTAGTAAAAGCAATACTTTTTATTTATAACCAAGTGTTGAAAATATTTCAGAAAGAATTCCCAAGCAAGTCTGGAACACCTGGACCTGATATCCTGATATGCTTTGCTATAATACAGCCTACTTAGGGCTTCCTAAGAGTATGAGAAGGTCACTCATACTTCAACCGCTGCAATATGTCATCACCTTATAAATGGGAGATAGTGATATCAGCATATAAAATTGGTACCTTGTCATGCTTTGGCACTGACTTTCCACTCCCAGGTGCAAGGTACGATGGGTTGGGTTTAAATCTGTAAGATCTGAATGACTGAACATAGCTATGAACTCAAGAGCAAAAGGCAGAAACTGAAGGAAGCATAGAGCTCTGGACATTTAACTAAGAAAACACAACTGCACTCAGTTTTACAGGGTTGAGGCATTTCAGTGCTAAACACTAGCACCTCTGGAACTGCTAAAATGCAAATATGGTAAGACTTCAGGCATTCAGGAATTGCATTTGCATTAAAAAAAAATTTCAGAATTTCTCTTCCAGAGAAAGTCAAAATTAATCAAGTTCACCATAACTTTTTAACTAAAAGCTTCAGAACACTTTAAAGGTATGTTATTACCTATTTCACAATTCATAAGTCAAAACTTGGAAATGAAAATAGCGTCTCTTTATTGATAGTCTGCCACAAATCATTGTATAAGCTTAAAGTTCGCCAGAAGTATCTGCTATGCGGGAAGATGCTGAACATTGCAAACATGTCTGCAATAAAGCGGATGCTTTCTTCTAGCAGATAACAGATTTTCTGTTATCAGTTCTCAATGTACTGCCATATGCAATAAAAGTTCCTTTGCTGTATTAACAGTATTGTTTTACACAAACTATATGAGGCCCAATAGAGTCACTTTCTCTTCAATGTTGCAAACACACTTAAGATGTACACTTTTAATGTTAAGCCTCCACTGACTTCAGTGGGACTCCTCTGTCTGATAGTTAAGCTTGCACACAATGTTTGCAGGACTGGAGTTTACAATCACAAAAACTGCTAAAAGGGGGTGAGAACAGCCAAACTAAGATAGGAATTCCAACAACTCAATGCATCCATCTTACTGAAGGAAATCAGTACCTTTATATGCTATTGAATGTTAAAAACAAACAAAGATGTTTAAGCACAAAGTATATATTTATACCAAATAAAACAACTGAAAAAGTATTACATAAAGAAAAATAATGTAACAGAATGTACTTAAGTACCTAACTTACAGTCATGCTCATATCTAACAAAAGTAACATTGGTAACTAATATATATAATTTTTGACAAGGGTGCATTTAAGAGTTCTCTAACATATAACATTCTAAATGTGGAGAGTATTTTTTCCAAGATATAGAAAACAAATTACTTTACACAGGCACGCCTGCTCATTTGTATAAAAAACATGCTTGTAAGTGAAAAGGTCACTTTAGTACTAATTTACCAGATGTGTGAAAGCTATGTTGTGTTAATCATGTTGAAATTGTCTCTTCTTTTGCATTGGTGAGCGCCAACACTGCATGGTACAATATTTGATCCATATGGTTTACTGACACTGCAACCTGTTTCCAAGCAGTAGCCCTGCCCAGGTGTTGAACAGCACAGTACTGTACAGCCCCATCTGTCTTCTGCATGTAGTGTATTATTTATAACTAAAAGCTATTACAATTATTACAATGATTTGTTTCAATATATACATCAGTATAAAATACTACCCAAAACACTTTTGCATTTCAAACAATTTTAACCACTTCATCAAACAATGCATTTGCAGAATAAAAAATAAAAAAAAGGAAAAAGAAAATCCAAATTAATGTGAGTTGCCAACAATACAGCATCTCTATGGTATCTTTCCTAACAAAAGAACGGAAATGTATTAAAGTCAATTAAAATAAGTATCACAAAACTGAATTAATGTTAGAGCAGTTCAAGGATTCCCAGTTTGTCAGTATCTCCCCTAAGCAGTGCTACCCAAATACAGTATAAGCCATTTAGTGTTTCTACAATGAGAAGAAGACATTCAAATATTAAAGCTGTGAAAACACACAAAAGCAAGGAAATAAAATTTGTTCTATATTCATCCGTGTTGTACCTTGGTACAGCATGTTAGGAGTTTGCACTCAGTGCATTATGTGCTATTATATCTGGATTCAGCTGGGGAAGACGACTGAAATGGAAACAATTCTGAATTTCCTTGCTGTTGTGGTTTCATGTCAGACCATTCAAGTTATATTTAACAGCTTAATGTCATTTTTTTTTCCTGAAGGGAAGAATTCATAATTAAACTGTAAAAATGCTACTAAAATCCCTATCTTGGACACAATATACTGCTTTAAGAGCTACCGTGTCATTGCACAATATAAGTGGCCTATTAATCACTGAATTACTGGTGTAGCAGAACATATTTGTCATTGTGGATGTGCTTTGAAAACTGGTGTTTAAAAACCTGCCTGTATTCCATTACAAGCCACAAACAATTTTGCTTACTTCAAATACTAAAATACTTATGTAAAGTAGTAAATGTACACTTAGAGTGGCAAATTTCAAATCTCTGCCTCTGCTGCTTCAGTTTTTAAAATAAGAGACTTATTTCAGAGCTTTCACTCCTTAAATTATTCTGAAACAGATCTGTCTCTGAAGCATTACAAAAAAAAAAAAAAAAATCCAAATTATCATATGGGTCATTTTTTGTTTTACTGATTTATTCCCAACTTGAAAAATAAACAATTCCTTTAAAAAAATTCCCTTCCCCCCCTGCGAAGTCGTCTCTGCTAGCTGAGATCTTCCAAAACCAAGTTTCACACAGTATCTTTATAGCCACGTTATACACCCTTGAAAATAAGGGCTCGTGTTGGGAATGGTGACAGGCCCTTAATTATAGAGGTGCTGACTGGTGACACCATTTTCAATCAGAAAAAACAAAAAACCCCACAAAACTTCATAGCTTATACTGAAAGTTTGATTCATGCTCATTTTGTTCATGTGAAAATACTCTTTGGAAATGGTGTCAACTCCTGCAGACAACTTAGTGATACATCTTTTCCTGTTAAAATAAGGATAATTCATATTCACCTCTACCCCATGCTAAGCTCTACTACTAATATACACGTCATTACCTGCTCATGTCACCATCTAACACATATCTTTACAGTCTTCTACATATAGTGTCCAGGGCTTATTTTTCACCAAACAGAATTTGATAACTATTTTACTAAAGAGTTTTAATGAGGACTTTTTTTTTTTGGTGTTCCAGCCTTTTCATTGCAATGTAGAGTGAAATTAATAGTTTACAGTATTTTTCCATGCTAGCTTAAGAGAAGCTTTTCATAAGATTCTCTTCCATTAAGGATTTTGAAATCTAAATTCACCTAGATAGCAAAATTGAGAATCAGAAGAGAGATTAGATGCTTCTGTCATTTTAAAATGATTTCTGCTACTTCAAAATGCATTTAAAAATTTTACACATCATACTTAGGATTCTAACGTTTTACACTGCTGCAATCAGACTCTAATTCAAAATTCTTGCAAATAGACATGAAAAATAAGCCACTGGTCATGAATTCTAATGATTACATTCAAAGCTAGCCTTTAAAAAATAAAAAAAAAAAAAAGAAGTTACAGGCAAAACATACTGTTTCATGTACTCACTAGCTTATCAGGCTACAATAAGCATGTTTTAGGTATAAAAAAAGCAGACAATTCAGATTTAAATAAGACTATGTGAAATCAGAAAAAAACCCTTAGATTTCACTCTTAAAAAAAGAACACCTATAATTACTTCCCATCCTACAGCTACAGTTAAAATAACTAACAAAAATAATCAAACTATTTCTGACAAACAAAAGTTAGGCTAGAATACGTGGCAACAATCAAAGTTCATATATGTTTCTATGTAAAATGACTCATGATTTACTATAACATAAAATATGAACAAGAGCACTTTGTGACTAATGAAAGAGCTATTAGTAGAAACACTTAATGTCAAACAGTCTTTAGCCCTCCTTTAAGTCATATCTCCAAATCAGTATTGACTTCTTTTGACGAGATACATCATTTTTGGCTTGTCACCCCAGTACGTCATGTTTTACCACTTGCCACAGGCAGCAGGAGACAACTAGCTGAGCAAACTACAAGCAGTGACATGCAGAAATTAACTCTCAAATCTGAGTACTTAGATAAAATGATATGCAAGCGCACACTAGGACAAAAGGAATGGCATTCGTCATCCACACAGGCTCATCATCCCTCCCCACCCCCCTTGAACAGTAGTTGCAACAGCAATAGAAAAAGATCAAGAAGATGTCTGTTCTTCAGAGTCAACTGTGGAAAAAAGTCAGCAATATATAACAGCAGCGATGGACAAGGAAGAGCAAAACGAAAGAATCTTGTTGAATATTTGTTCATTTACTTTTTCTGAACACAAGCCAAAGTCTGCCACAGTGGCTTGTTCTGAACTTCAGATATAGATGTCCTATTCTCCTTAGATCCTTCACAGATTTAGAATTCAGTCTCCCTGAGGCCTCTATAACCAAGTAAGAAAACTCTCTTTATCTAGCTTGGTGGCTGCCAAGACAGATTCCATGTCATTAAGGATGTCAGAGCACAAAGCCTCTTGCAGACTTGGCATCAGTTCCTCTCCTTCTATATTCATCCCATCTCCTTCCAGTGTCCCAAGGTCCACATTTGTCCCTGGAATGGCTTCAAGGTAGTCTGGGAAACGGTTCTGATGGGACGGTATGTTACTTTGGCTGATACTGTCACCTAGTTATAATACAAAGCAAGATGGATATTAAACACACTGGAAGAACTAAACTCACCATTTATCAGGACAAGTAGTTAAAAGTTAATCCTTGCTCTCTTGCATCACACAAGCAATCTGATTCATAGAAATCCACCCCGAATACGAAAGATGACTTGACTGCAGACGTACAAAGCACATGCCTTTGTTTCAACTTTTTCACTTACTGACTCTAATCTCTCCTAATCTTTGATGTTATTTATCATATTTTTATTTTTGTTATTTTTATATTTAAAAGAAAAAGAAAACATTGATGAGTCAAATGTTGTTTTGGAGCAACATTACATGGCAATACTGGATAAGGTAGCGTTCTTAGCTCAGAACAAACAATCGATCAAATTTATGAGAGGTATGTTTGTCACAAATCCAATTATAACATTTCTATTACAAGAATAGAAGAAGGTAGAACAGCACTGTGAAGAGTATCACAACTTCTCAGAATTGCCTGCTTTCATTGCAAAGCGGCTGAGCATTTAGTGGACACAAACATTTCTGGAAAACAGGCATTAAGAATGTAAACAAAATCAAACCTGTATCCATCTCATCAACACTGTTCAAGAAGTCATCAGGAGTTCTGGGTACACTATAACTGCTCATGCTAAGTCCACTGTCTGTGCTTTCATCTCTGGAGTGATATGTTCCACTATAAGAGAAGAAAAGCAGCAAATAATGAGGGTAGAGTACTGAGGAAAATAGTAAGTTAAAATGGTTAGATGTATGTTTTTAAAAGAAATTTAAAAGAAAGCTGAAGCCTTTGTCTGTGTGAGACACCTGGTTTTTATTTTATGCAGATTTTTTCCAATTAAGACCATATTATTTAGATTCAATTCAACTTGATGAGAACATACTTAACCAGCTTTAAAAAAAGTGCCTACCAAAGCTTTGCATTGTAAACAGTTTCATGCACACCCACAGCTAAAAACTATTACACATCTATCACAGATAGTCTCTAATGATAATAAAACTTAGTAAAGATGTAGCATTTCACACTTCTATAAGGATAAAAAAGTTATAAATGCTAACGTCCTGTTGTTTATTCACCCACTGAAATGTATTTTTAGTTCTCTGCTGTTATAAATAAGAGCTAGAGTTGGAACTACTTTAGCAATTCTTCAATTGCTTCCCACTGTTGCATTACTACTAGTTCAGTTATACATGTCACAGCAAGAGAGCCCTAATATAAATTAAGTACTAGTACAGAAGCCATCCTGTAAACAACCCCTGTTCTGAATGATCTTGTTGACAGAACAGTTAACAAAACAGGGGTGGCAAGAGGCTTTATATACATTAGCTTTCTCATTGCCATCTCTACCAGCGGACAGGCAAGATCAAGAATGCTGCGGTGGGAAATTTAGAAGAAAAAACAAAACAAACAAACAAAACCCCCACAACCCTCCCAAAAGTAAGCCAGGCAAAAGACCAACAGCAACCAGTGCAGGGGGGAATCCTATTTCTAGTTGACTTCCTCATAAATTAGATAAATTATTTCTTTACAAGTAGAACAACAACAAAAAATATATGCAAGACTGCAAGTAGTTATCTTGATTAGAATAATTATTTTCAAAAACATTTTTTTCAACTACTTGTTATACAAACAAGACAGATAGGCACAAGTCTGTAAGTCTTTCGCTCTGATAGCTAAAGGATGTGAACAGTCACACTGGAAAAAACGGTTGTGAGCATAAGCAGCTGCAGAAATACACCCTTACCTCCCCCCTCCCATGTCCTACTTATAGCCAAGCTTCGCAACATCTTTTCAAATCTCTATTTCTTCAGTTGTGGCAACATTCACTGAGAATCCTTACTGATTTTCCAGCTTGAATATGAAATGAAGTTCAGCTTCATGTACAGCTCAAATTAGCAGTTGAAGAAATACTGATCCTTCCTGTATTGTGCTCATGACATGTATAAGCATATGCCTTGGTGTCAAGTATGCAGAATCAAACAGGAGATAGTTGAACAGCTGCTCAACAGTGGATGCAAGTAAAATGCCATCAACCACGAATACATATATTAGATTTCACCAAGTCATTTTTGCATTACCAAAAAGAGACGTAATATTTCTATATAGTTAAAGTATAATTTTTTTTTAAGAAAAGTATCACTGCATATTTGATAAGCGCTCAGTATATTATATTCTTTTTCTTAATCCTGCAGAAGTCAACTTGTCATCTTCAAAAAAAATAAGTAAGCTATTTAAAACCTCTGTGAAAAAAATGCTGTTTCACTTTGTGGGGTGAAATGCTAAAACCAGAACGGAGACTATACTGACCTAAGTCACTCTACCTGAGGTGTTTTTTTGGCTGCTGCTACCACACTTTGAATGGTCAGCCCTTTTCTTCCTTCAAATCACTCCTTAATACACATTCCTCTGCCCTTCAACATGGATCCCTTCATTTAACAGTCATACCACTGAAATTATTGCATGCAACTAAACTGCATTATCCAAGTTAGAGTAAAAGCTTCATCAAGAAATACTTGTTAAAAATACACGTATACAAAAGAAGAAAACATAATTCAGGAGTTAAATAGAGTGTTACCATCACTACCAATATACATCTAACAGACAGAAATATATAAGCAGGTAAATCAAAAGGTGAAACTGTCCAACAAGGATCGCACTGCTGAATATCCCATTTTAAAAATAAAATATACCACAAAGACCATACATACTAAAGACACAGACAAAAGATTTACTGGATAAATTAGGCACGACTGTACATCTTCCCAAGCTGCTCCAAAACAGCATCGTTTTCTGACACTCTCTGTATGTTCTTTTTACATAGGCAGCAGAAAATATTCAAACTACCTAAACCATGGATATCCAACTTTGGTACCCAGAATTAGGAAGATTTCATCAGGAAATTTATGTAGCTTATAAAGAGAGAGAAGCATCACTGGAGGTCTGAAATATAGTACAAGGCACATCAAGGAGATCTCTGCGACAAAACTATTGGACTGCTGTATCTGGTACAGAGACGGCTACTCATATCCGCAAGTGTCCTTTTGGAAGTCCCCTTCCCTTTAGCAACATGCAATAAAACACAGTGAGGTACAGAATGTTATCTAGAAGGGGAGAATGCTCAAAGTAAAACGTAAATTAACATATTTTGAATTGAAGTCAGATACAGTTTTTTAGATTTTGCTTGCAGTAAGATTTAAAAAAAAAAAGCATGGTTAACAATTTGCCACTGGGCAAACTGCTTCTGCTTTGTAGTAAACAGACCTTGCTAATTATCAACCTTCTAAAAAAGTAAAAATCTGAATTTGTCCCTCTGGCTTTTTTTTTTTTTTCCTCTCATTTCTAACTCACAGAATCACAGAACAGCCAAGGTTGGAAGGGACCTCTGGAGATCACCTAGTCCAACCTCCCTGCTCAGGCAGGGTCACCTAGAGCACATCGCACAGGATCGCGTCCAGACGGGTTTTGAATATCTCCAGGGAAGGAGACTCCACCACCTCTCTGGGCAACCTGGTCCCGTGCTCAGTCACCCTCACAGTGAAGAAGTTTTTTCCTCGTGTTCAGATGGAACCTCCTGTGTTGCAGTTTGTGCCCGTTGCCTCTTGTCCTATCGCTGGGCACCACGGAGAAGAATCTAGCCCCATGCTCTTGACACCCTCCCTTTAGCCATTTTGTATACGTTGATGAGATCGCCTCTCAGTCTTCTCTTCTGCAGCCTAAACAGGCCCGGCTCTCTCAGGCTTTCCTCATCTGAGAGATGCTCCAGTTCCCTAACCATCTTAGTAAAGCCCTTTACTAGGCTTGCTCCAGTAGCTCCCTGTCTCTCCCGTACTGGGGAGCTCAGAACTGGACACAGCTCCCCACGTGTGGCCTTCCCCAGGGCTGAGCAGAGGGGCAGGATCACCTCCCTCGACCTGCTGGCAACACTCTGCCTCACGCAGCCCAGGACACCACTGGCCCTCCTGGCCACAACGTGCCGCTCTTGGCACACTGCTGGCTCATGGTCAACTTGTTGTCCACCAGGACACCCAGGTCCTTCTCTGCAGAGCTGCTTTCCAGCAGGCCAGCCCCCAGGCTGTCCTGGTGCAGGGGGCTATTCCTCCCCAGGGGCAGGACTTGACACTTGCCTTGGTTGAACTTCAGGAGGTTCCTCTCTGGCCGGCTCTCCAGCCTGTCCAGGTCCCTCTGAATGGCAGCACAGCCCTTTGGGGCATCAGCCGCTCCTCTCAGTTTGGTATCATCAGCAAACTTGCTGAGGGTGCACTCTGTCCCTTCCTCCAGGTTAGTGATGCATAAGTTGAACAAGACTGGACCCAGTATTCACCCCTATGATACACCACTAGCTGGTGTTAGGCATCTAACTAGACTCCGCGCCATCAATTACAACCCTGTGAGCTCTGCCATCCAGCCAGTTCTCAGTCCACCTCACTGTCTGCTTATCTAGCCCATAGCTAAAGATTCATCATTTTACATTTAAAGTGTATAGATACACAATGGAGAAACTGCATTAGTCCATTGGCAGAATATTTGGCATATAGAAGAGTACAGTGGCCATCTGAAATCGACAGCTGCATTTCTTTCTGGTCAAAAACCAGGTTTTGAAGATGTGAGGATACTACATCATTTAAGAGCAGATCACAAAACATAAACGGGCACACTGTGTGATGCCAACAGCTGTCCAGAAATTCAAGCTAGTATATTACTCAACACATCAAAGCTGTCCTCTTCTCTCTACAGAGGCTTCTTGCAGGCGAGCAGGTCAGTTTTAAGATCTCTTGTCCTTTATTCCTTGGCACAGGGCCAGCACAGCTAAGGATCACACAGGACCCCAGGGTAGATTCCATGGAGTACCATCCCTCCCTCTAACAAAAATTAAGTCTTCTGATCAGATTTGTCTGCATAGGAGATAATCTTCCTGAAGGGCAAAACCAAAACTTGGAAACAGCAATTACTTCCTTTGAGAGTTTAATCACAAGCACCACTGCTTTCTTCTCTAATATATACAAAGCACTGTGTATCTTGAGAAGGAACCTTTTCTCCCTCTCCCAAAACGTTAGCGCACAGAGTAGTCTATTCTGTGTGGGGAGAGAAAGAACCCACTACTTGTGACAGATGTTATTCACATCACCTGAGCTACCAGAATGACTAGACTCCATTAGCAAGATGGTGCAAGAGCATACCCTCCACCTTGACTGAACTTTACTTGTTTTGAGAATTAGAATGAGGATAGAGCATAGAGAGATGGAGGAGCATCCTAGAAAAGGCAGAAAATAAAACAAAGGTAAGCTAAGCTGACACAATATCGACATCTGGAAAAGTTACATACACTGAAAGTACATTCTTAGGGATGAAGAACCTAAATGTGAGAGAGAGCAATATATGTTATTTAAAAGAACACAGGAAGCGATTTATAATTGCACAAAAGGTTTACAAGGATAGTAACAGTTCTGACTATCTAGAATTATGGCAGGTAGGTTTGAAACTATATTGATAGCAAAAAATCCATGAAAGTTATGACTTATATTGAAAGAACAAAGAAGAATCTTAATAGCTTTTTCATGAATACATTGTTATAATTCCTATACACTTACAATAAGCATCCTAAAGTCAGGCTAACATTTCAAGGTAATGTAGAAAAGTAATAAGAACTCTGACAGAATACTTAATTTTTATCTTTTATGGTAGGTGATACTGAGTTGATATCAGTTCAGAGTGCTGACAAAATACAGTCTGATGAATTACTACAAAATTAACTACTTCAACAACAACCCCAACAAAAAAGTCCCTTGAATTGAGTGAAGTTCAACTGCTTGATATTACTGAGTAGATTCTGATTCCCTTAATTAAAAAATTACATGGCCCAGAGATTTGATTCTTTTATCAATTTGATCTTTTTTTCCAGCTGCTAAACAAAAAAATATGGATGTGACCTATCTCAAGGTGCAGCAGTTTGTTTAAAATTGTAATAGTTACTGGGAAGCATTTGCAAGCTGTAATTAGAATAATATTTCAAAAAAAACAGTATTTCAAAAAAAACCCTCCACTCCCTAACTCTGAGGGAGTAGGGAAAAAGTTACATGAATAACACGAGCCCACATTGTAAAAATCCTAACTTTTGAATTAAGAGAAGTACTTCAAATAATACAGCATTTAAAATAAAACATGCTACTAATTGCAGATCTAAAATACTGCTAGGCTAGTATCTGAAGTGGAGGGGCGGGGTGATGGGAGAAACCTTAAAATGAACCTTAAGGCGTAGTCCTGAATGTGCCTCACAGTTCATCTGATCTCAGAGCAAGCTATTCACAAATTCTTCTGAGTCAGTAATTTGAAATGACTGTTAGTCAACAGATTATGCAGAGGCAAACAGATTATGCAGAGGCAAACATGTTATGACTTTGAATAAAAAACCTTCCTACAAGTCTGAACAGGCTACTTCCTCCCACAGGAGACAGCTTTTAATCTTCAACTTTTACTAGACTTGCCATTTAAGGAAAGATTCATTTACAGCTGTGGCTTTTGGCACAGGCAGATGTTCAAAATAAACTATTACATGTACTGAACAGAATCTTAAATCAATTTTTTTTCCCTCCAGTAGCTACTCCTACAAACCTGTTAAGAAAGGGATCAGAACTATTTGTAGTCATTGTTCTCAGTTCCTGAGACATTCCAGGAGATGACACGGGATTTTGAGAACCACCGTCTTGTTCCATTGTTGGAAGCTGGCTACGGAGAGCCAATTCCTAAAAAGAGGGGAGGAGAAGAAAGAAAACAGCATGTTAGGCATTTGAATGTACTTTTCAAATACACAAAAATAGGACACTATAGGGTAATTGACGCTTCTACTATTTTCGGTTATCAAGTTTAAATTGAAATAAGTTTCTCAAGACAAAGCAAGAACTTTCATTGGCTTCAGTGAAAAAGAAAGTTCATCCAGTCATGCACAAGATTACAGGGACTTCGCTGTACATATATTAATGTATATAGATAGTTATATGTTTATATAAATATTTTTCAGTTTACTTTAATATCCTTTTGCTAAGTCTGTTCTTAAGGTCAAAAAGACAGCTGTCAACACTTTCTAATCCCTACGATACAGCTGTCATTGCTGAATCTCTCTTCTTCCCCATTCCTTATAGGCTCTGATTAGCCCCAATTTCTTTTTCACCTTGCTTACTCATCCAGCAAAGTTTACGAGTCCTTCCTTACAAGTTCCTGTTCACTCCTCCTGTTTGAGGCATGCATTTTGACATTTCTGACTGATCAAATCAGTGACTTCTCCCATCTGTAAATCTTCAAACTCTTCAAATCCCTAGCAACTTCTTAGGAAGACTAGTAGAGTGTGCCCTTTTGAAATTAAGAACCTCTTATACTTATGTTTTTATTCATCTTACTTCACACCAAATAGAATCAAGGTATAAGTGTAGATATATGTATATATAAGATATAAGTATAACCACTTGATCCATCCATATAACAATTTTATCATTACTTTCTAATATAAAATGCATAAAATTAAAAGTGGATGTAGCTCAGGGATAAGCAGCCTTTTGCATTGCTTCCCATGCCCCTGTTCTCCCTTTCTAAAACAGGTAATCCATGAGTAACACACGTGAAAAATACACTAATTTTCTTGAAGCAACTCTCCTGTCTATGTTTTGTTAATATAGAGACTGGTAAAGGAATTCGTTGACTATCTTGTGACCAGTATTAGTAGTACATTATTTCCTAGCTCTGCCTAGAAAGCTAGTCTTTTTTAAAGACAATACTCAAGATTTCTCACCTGTAAAATTAGAGGTCTTCATCCATTCTCAAATATGAACCTGAGGACCACTCAGATTTTCAAAATACAAAAATAAAGATAAATAAATCTTTTCCCAATTTTTCTCCAAAGTGATTTCATTTTAAAAAGTCTAAGGTAATTTTCTTTTCTAGTAGATTATACCAAACGTACTATGCTTCCCTACCACCTGTTTTTCTTCTTTTTTAAACTACCTGTGCTTCACTCCCATTCCTGTGGATTATTATTGCACATATACCTTTAATACCAAGTTTCATGACTTGCCCTGGAAGGTTTTCTCACTCCAGGTGCTCAGACTCGAGTGGGAGTGTACAAATATACCATTTGTTTTTGCATCAGCTACATCCAGTTGTCTGCCCCAAGTAAATACAGTCCTTCCACTCTGATTATGCGGAGACAAACCTATTATGTTCTAGTAAATAGTAATAATATTCCTTCCCCTCATTTTCAGATTATAGGAAGGAAGGCACCTTTTATCTGTTTCTGTAGGCTTAGTCACATGATTTGCATTTTCTTATGTAATAACACTGAGTACAGAGATTATTAATGATTAGTTTACATCTTAATTTACAAGTGTTATCAGTCATATCAGCCTGATCCAAGAAGGCCTGATATCAAGGGATCTCATATCCACCTGAGAAATAAGTGGAATCACTACCTTTTTAAGTTTCCTTTCCAGGAATGCTTCCCCAATGGTGATCTGAGGAAAGTCTTAAAATTTCCAGCCAAGAGAGGACTCAAGAACTGCTCAGTTTCATCACACACATTACACTCTTCCTCTGGAGAGCAGAAGAATTCCTCCAAACGTTACCTGAGCCTTCCCTTCTCTTAGAAACTTCCTCTACATGATATAACTACTTCAACTAATTATAGTTTACTATTTTCTCATTAAAAAGCAGAAAAAAAAATCACTTGATTTGGCATCACTACTTTTAGATTCTTTTCAGCCTTAGGTTCCCACTTGGCTACCTTCCTCCTGGAGGGTGGCATAGTTTCATTCTTTACTGCAACATCAGAGCAGTCAATTAACAAACATCCTGCTTCTATATTCCTACAATTGCCTAGATGTGGCAAGAATTCTCTGGCCTTCGCCCTTCGCTCTTCCTTTTGTCTGCACATTGCATTTTTGTTTCCTTGGGCTGCAGTCCCTGACTAGGAAACAGGGGAAGAGGGCACAAGTGCCACTAAGCTGCAGAAGAACCTTAATTACAGATCGGCACCCCAAAGAGTCATGCCGATGCAAAACCAACCTGGAGTCCTTTCCGTCTGCAAAGCACTGAAGCGACATTATCTCTTGTTGGAAGGACCTGGTCTACCCCATAATCAGCACTGCCTAGTGATCCCATAGTTTAAAAAAAAACAAACAGACAAACAAAATAAAAGCAAAACAAAAAAAAAAACATAGCGCACAGGTCCTCTTTTCAAGAGCTGCTGCTGATCTTTCCTGTACGGAAAGACAGCGGTAGGAAAGAAAGAAAGAAAGTTCTCTCCTCTGTATCTTAAACTTAAAGGTCAGTATAAAGGAATTAGCGACACAGAAAAAAGAGAAAGTTACTTTTGTATTTTCTACATACTTGAAGGGCAGGAGCAGTTGAACAAAGTTTTGTCAACATATGACCTTAAACAGCATGATAAAGATAAATGTTGCTCAGATAGTGGGGAACTACCAAACATAATTGCATTTCACTAAAGGCCCATTAAAAAGATCACATAAACCAGGAGAAATAACTGTTTTCCTGTTCTTAGGTGTATGTGTCCATCTACAAATGAAAAAAGTCTGTATTATATTAGCAATAATTTTATCCTTGTTTCAACAACAAACTTTGCCAAAAATGCAAAATTGTAACTATTTGCATTAATGCTACTTATTCAAAGCAGGAAGAACTACAGGACTTCCCACTAGGAAGAATGTGACCCCCTTACTCAAGTAACAAATTTACGACAATCTTATGAATCTGAAAGAGAAAAAAATTACCAAAATAGACAAGCTGTTGAGAAACAAATGTAGTGATTCTTAACAACTCCACAAGATGACCAGTTTTATACAAGCCCTCAAGAGTATATTGTCTATTGCTTCTAAAAGGTGTATAGAAGGAAAGCTAACAATGTGTAGCTTGAAGAATGGTCTTTTTATTTCTTTTTCTTACAAAATTGATTTGCAATAACCAACTTGGGTTATGTGTTTCCCATAGTTTAAAAATATATGGGTGGAATGAGCCTCTCCATCTTCAAATAGAGCAATGAGAACTCTAGGTTTTTAATTCATGCTTTAAAAATATATCCTTTATTAGAAGTATGTAAAGTCTGGAGGCAAAAATACAACCACGACAAAATCCTGGCTTACACGTCTATGACTTGATCTCATTCTATTTTTGTAAGTATGTCAAACTTTTTTTAAAGTACCACTGGGAAAATAAAAGCTTAGCACTCCCCATTGTTAGCACAAAATCCAAATTTTGGCTATTACATGCAAGACCAAAATGATCTGTCATCTCCTTGGAGAAAGTAACTTTAAATATAAGGCCAGTATTGTGTAATTTATCTGGTTGTCCTTTTCCATTTTTTTTCATAGTTGCTCACTGATTAAATTTTACACAAAGTTCCAGGTCATCCACACCATGTCCAAATTAAGTTCATAAAACTACTCTTTTCAGAGCACTTTTGCTTTTATCTTTGTCATGCTTTTGAGGAAAGGTAAAGACTTCCTTGCGCTGATCATGTCCCATAATCTTACTATATTAAACAAACGACAGTCTAGTCAACTTGAATTGATATATCCTCCTAACTGTCTTTTGGTAAATTTACTTTAAAAGGCCAAGTATTACTTTTTTGTCCCTAAACACTGCTCAACTATCACACTGTCCATAGGCTTCATTGGGATGGGGCAGAGGTGGCAGAGGAAAGAGAGGACCACTACACCTGTGGGCAGACTATCTGCACAAATTATTTCTTCACTATAAATATTTATGTTCTTGTTTGAGAAACAAAAAGCATATGTAGAAAAGAAACAGGGAAAACACATGGACAGACAGATGAGGACATTCAGAAATGGAGTTACACAATTAATGAAGAGTAGGGGAAAACACAAATCATTCAGCGTTGCAATCATGAAGATCAGCAAAACTAATTTAAGAGGTGATACAGATAGAGTGATAGCTAACTATCATATACGTTTGGCATAGAACTCAATTCTACATACTGTCTTTTGCATATCTGTGAACACAAGCTTCTCAGCAGCCACCTACAGTCCCCTTTGCAAGAGCAGATAGGGCAGCATAAAGTAGAATAGACTTTTGTAAATAGGGTCTGGCTTCTTGTCTGGCTTTGCAGTCCTGTGCTGTGCCACTGGTCCATACTCCACTTCCTATCTGCCCGTGCCTCAAACCACTGCGCCTGTCCATCTTGTGTGCCTGCAGAATGCCAGTGAGACAGGAATATATGAGTAGGAGCTGGCCGTCATGAAGGCCACGCAGGCAGAGGTGGCCTCCCTCTATCAATTTTTGTTTGCTTCCAGTAAAAACTGTTACTCAAACCCATCCCATATGCAGATAAATATGATTCATGTCTTCCGCTGACCAATTGTTTTAGCGCTACTTCTGACCTTTTTAAAAATAATAATTAAAAAATCCTTTAAAATCAACTTTTCTTATAACTCTTTTTCGGATCCTAGCAAGGAAAGATTTATGTACTAAATGCAGCGAAAGGATGATGCGAAAGATTAATGTTAGACTGAATTGACACGACAAGGTCTCTGCACTCCACTGTGCACCCCTGCATTTCTGAGCCCCAGGTTTGTCCCAACCAAGCTGCACATTGTGAATCCCAGGTTCCTTGCAAATAAGCACAGAAGCTGCACAGGGAGAGATCTGCAGCACTCCAGGAGGCATCAGAGGGGTCAAACAAGAGACTAGGACTTCAGGTCAGACCACAGAGTGCCCCTTC